TTATTTCTTCAAAGTACTAACTCCAACAGGGGAGTATGTCTTCCCAACAGCAGTGTAAAAAGCTTAAAACAACTCTTCCCCTTTAAGAAAGTACCAGCAAAGAAAAAAAAACCTTTGGAGACAGTAAGTCTAGGCATACTGCCAAGAATGCAAGAAGGGTGGAAAAAAACAAAAGGAGATTTCTTCCAACAACTGGTTCTCCGAATTGCTTAGAAAGTTAACAACCGGTTCTAGTGAATAGGTGAGTACCTGTAGAATCCCACCCCTGACCTGATGCCATCCTTGCTCCCTCCAGGGACCAATAGGAAAGCATCATTAGTTGATGCCGTCGGTCTTCGATCATCTGCAAAAAGAATCTAAAAAGTTGCTATGAAGGAAAGTTTTCCAGGTGGAAAGGTACCTTTTCTCCTGCATTTTAGGCCTCTTGCACGGTTATGATAGTGTCGGTGTGTCAAACTCAATTTCATTGAGAGCCACATCAGGGCTGTGGTTGACCTTGGGGGAGGGGGCTGGACGGACGTGGTGGACTGAATGGGTGTGGGCAACTGGGTGGGTGCGGCCAGCTTGATTCCTCTCACTGGGTGTGGCCGGCTGGGTGGGCATGGCCAGCTTGACACCACTCCCCAAACTGCTGGCATGTTTCCTCTTCGCATTTGGGTAGACAGGGCCAAAGCAACGTGGACCGGCCCCTCACATTTTACCAGGAAGGCCCCTCAGGCTTGATGCGGCCCACAGGCCTTGTGTTTGACACCCCTGTGATAGTGAAATGGTGGATTGCTTTTAGCAGCTAGGAACTTTGGAAGCTCTGACCATCATGATGCACGATGCTATGGTGACTGGAATAGGAGATGAGAGAGTCACTCTAAATAAAGCCTACAGTCAGGCCACAGGACCTGCAGGCTAAAGGTTGGGGTGGGAAGAAAAGCTGTGGTTCCTTTCTAGCTAGGATCCAAGAAACAGAGTGTTGTAAGGATCTCTGCCAATGACACAAGCTCAGCAGTGCCAAAGCATTGTATTAGCATCGCTCCAGTTTCCAATCAAAAATAGCCGAGGCCAGGAAAAAGAAAATCACAGTTTTCAAAATGAACCTAAGTTGTGTGATTACATAGAGCTGGAACTGATACTGAACCAGCACACAGCCCTTCCTCATATGGAGGCACCCTTTGATTAATGTTCATTCTTGGAAGGCAGAGAGGAAAATTATCTTTGCTTTGTAATCAGCAATTAAAGAATTGTTATTCATTGCAATTCATATCCATTCATCTTTGACAAGTGTTAAACCACTGACCCCCCCACAATCTTTCTAGTGATTTAAACAACTGCTTCTAGCATCCTATTTTTGGATGGGTTGGTCATTTCATACATGGGTAGGATTTGTATTATTTGAATAATATCGATATCAAACAAAGGTAGATTTGTTTTAACCCTTTAGCACTATTCAGAATATACAAGTGGATCAATGGGAAAATGAGGTTGAAGGATTGCAGATTTTTATTATATTCTAGGCCTAAAGAGAATGTTTATAAAATGATGTGCTGTTGGTATTTGTCTACAATGCATAAAGATATCTTAAATTAACAGTGTTATGGTTGCCTTAGATTTATAATTAAATAATGTAGAAAGGTACCTTAAATTTATGTTGGAAATATGAACACTATGAAAGGACATTTTATCATGTCTGGTAGATGTGTAAAAAAATCCCCACAAAATTGGATGCAAGTACATAAAGTAGTCCTCACTTGACAATAATGTGTTTAGTGAATGTTTGAAATTACAAGAGCACTGAAAAAAGTGACTTACCATTGGCTGTGGCACTTATGACCATCACAGCACCCTTACCGTAAATAATTGGGATTCAGATGCCTGGGAACCATCATAGCCTTTATGTCTGTGGAGATTTTCAGTCATCCAGGTCATGGTTGTCCAAAAAGTGCTTTTTTTCAAGAGGCAACTGGACTTTCTGGGGTTTGTTTAAAAGACATTTTGCTTCTCATCTAAGAAGCTTCCTCAGCTCTGTTTCCAGTTAGAGCTGGAGAAGCTTCTTGGGTGAGAAGCGAAACCTCTTCAAAGAAAAAAACAGAAACTCCAGTTGCCTCTTGAAAAAAAGCACCTTTGGGGCCACCATGACCTTTATGATGCTTGCAGCTCCCTGAGGTCCGGTTATCACCAATTGCAAAGTTCTCAGCTGTCTTCTGAAAAGCAAAGTCAATGGGAAAAGTTGAAAGTTGCAGTCATGTGATAACCAGGACATAAAAGATCATAAAATCAGGTGCAGTTATGGGATGCCTCACTTAATGACTACACTGCTTAACCACAAATGTTCTGGTCTCTATGGTGGTCCAAAGTTGAGGACTTTCTGTGCACTGATTCAGAAGTTTTTGAAGGCAGAGGCTTTTCTATGAGGGACTATTGGACAAATGTCTAGAAAAAAGACATGAAACTTTGTTTTTATATATGACCATTGCAGTAAGATTATGAAAAATGGAAAGCCTCAGTGCTACCCACAACAGAGGAATGTTTGGTGAACATAATAGAATTTGCAGAGATAGCTAAATTGACTTCCGTAATTAAAGACAATATCCACATCTTTGGCCGACTGGAAACCTCTTGTAGACTTTCAAACCAGAAAATATTGCACTTGTGAGTTTTGGTTTTGATGATTAGGAAAAAAAATGGGTATTAGAAAAAAATGAGCTTTTTTGGGGTAACCATAGAGTAAGAGATAACCTTGTAATTATATTTGCTGCAAAGGAAATCAGAAGCTTCTTTCTATTTCTTTCTATTTTTTCTTATTTTTTTGGGGGGGGGGACTTGTGTTGGGAGAAAGAAGAAACTGGACTAGCTGAAGATAAATTTAAGTTGTCTCTGAAAACAAGATGAAAGTGAGATCATGATCCACAAGTGGCATCACTCCACAAACAGTGGGGCAATTTTGCCCCAATGATAGCAGGAAATCTGAGCGAGCCCTGAGATCTCTGTCTCATTCTCCTAAACAAAGACCTTGAAAAATCAAGTTTCTTTTGACTGCTCCTCAGTTACGGAAGGCAAGAAATCAGTCCTGAGACAGAACCATGTTTATTTAGCTAGAGTTAATTTAATTGAGAAGCTTATATCCCATTTCCCCCTACAATAAGAAATGCAACCCTCGGTTAACTGTGTCTGAATTAGATGAAACATGCCACAAAGACTAGATTATTTCAGTGCCACTCTGAGCAATTTAGTGGTCTGGAAGCTGTGAGGAGTTCATGCAAGGGTTTAGAACACATATACAGTATACACACACACACACAAGGTCTGTTCTTTCCATATAAATCTGAGAGGGCTGCATAGCAATGGTTGTTGGGAGGATACAGGTTATTCTTTCATTGCCAAATAGAGCGGTGTTCCTGAAACTTCAGGAAATTAATAACGTGCTCATACTATCATCAGTCTGCTTCTTCCTAATTGAATTTTTCTCCCCCTCGTTCGCATAAGAGAGATTCCATCTGAATTGGAAAAAACAATGGAAAACTCAAACGTGTGAGTGACCCTGGACAGGGGGCCTGGTGACCCTTTTTACCTCAGGAGAGCCAGAATAGCTGGATTGAACCATTGGCTTCTGAGGTAGTCCAAAAATCAGGACAAGACACCCCCCTCAAAACGCCGAGGGCATAGAAGAGCTGAAAACAAGAAGGCTGTTTAAAAGATCCAAATACCACATTTTGGGAGCACCAGTAATTCCTGAGGGTTAAAAATGAGGATGTGATACCACAGCACTGAACTGCAGTCATTGCAGGGGATAATGTAACCAATTTGGTTGCTAACAGGACACGAATGTCCAATGTTAAACTAAAAACATAAAGCATCACAATTTCTTAGGAATAAAATCTGCTACAACAGAGGCAATTATTCTAAAATCAACATGCATGGACAAATAACAAACTTCTTTGAGGGGCTTTTCTTGGAGACACCAGAGCCCATCCATTTGTGAGCACAATACCATTTCTGTTTCCAGGATAATCATGGGCAAACCAATTTTTCTAAATGCTCTTAAAGGAAGTACTTCTTCCTACTGGAAACTTTTCTTCCTATTAGAAACATTTCTTGAGAAGCAGTAGAAAACTAACGTGTGCTTCCATTTGAATGTACCTGTTACAGGATCATTTTGGACAACATCCAGCTGTTCTCACCCAAACCTTGTTCCAAGGAAACAAACAGGAAACAGAGGTAACAGCAAAACCTTTTAATGATTCTTTACGAATTCCGTTCCTTCACGGTTAAAAGGCTGTTTCAGACTAATTGTCTCTGATAAGAACGAGCCTTGCCAAGGTTGTACAAGGCTGCCAAGAACACTAGATAAAGTTACTAAGAAATATTTCAAACACAAAGAGTCTCCAAACACCAACCAAGATATTCCGAACGTCCTCAAGGCTTCAGTGCAAAAACTTCTTTGCTTCCTGCAAAGAATTCTGGTTTCTCAGCTGGCTTTTATTTCTTAAGGGAGGGGCCATTACCTTGTAGCCTTACTCCCAAGTCACCCGTGCTGCTGCAGCTGCTCTTTCCTTCGAGCAGCCCTGTGCGCACATGCACTGTGCACAGACTCCTCGCGAAATTCTTCATCACTGCTGCCAGCCTCCACAATCTCCGAAGGCAGCATTCCACTCCCTGATGGTTGGCCCCATCCCTGCCTCACACACAAACCCCTCATCTGACTCCTCGCTCTCTGAGATCTCAGCTGCCCACACCTGCTGCCGGCGAACCACAACACCATGCTATTATGAGTGACACCATGTACCCAATTTTGTCCTCACCCATACAGAGGGAATAAGCTTTTTTACTTGCCCTAAATGTATAGCCCTGGGATGGCTATTCTGTATGCAATATTATAATTGCATCCTCCGAGGAAACTTCTTCTTTATCCTTCACATCTTCTTTTATCATCTTCTTTATCTTTCTCATCTGCTTCACTACCTTCTCTATTGGTATCATTATTATGATTATTATGATTATTAATACTTTGCTGTTTTGCATGTACACTGAGAGCTTGTACACCAGAGACAAATTATTTGTGTGCCTAATCACATTTGCCCAATAAAGTATCCCATCCCATCCAGTCCCATCCCATCCCATTTTATTCTATTCATCTCTCTTTATAATGCAATATTTGTAAAATCACAGTCAAGCACATAAAAATGTACAGACTGAAAAAATAAATTCAAAAATTTAACTTTGTCCTAAAGCATGCTTGGTGTTACCTGCCTCCCTTAAAAATTAGGAAAACCCTCTAGCTTATATAGCAGAGACATTCAATAAACAGGGTTCTTACTCAGAAACACTCAAAGGTTAGAATTGCTTCCAGATTATTACCTGCAGGTATTGGTAGAAGAGGATGAGAAAAAAGAATCATGGTCCCTACAAAGAATATTCACAGAGGGACTAGAAAAGCAAAGATAGAAATATCACCTGTGCACCCAGGATCCTACTACTTCTTTTATCTCTCTCTCTCTCTCTCTCTCCTCCCCCACAGACCCCACTTTAACTTTTATAAAAAACAGTTTATTCACTAAATCATTAAAAAACAGAACAATTACATAAAAGAAATAAACAACATATGAAACACATAGTGAGCAAAGAAAAAAAAAATGAACAAAGTTTGAAATTAGAATAACATTTAAAATTAATTAAATAGCTAGTTAAATTATATTCATTATGTCATCTTAAGAAATAACTGGAAATGTCTATAAAACTCTAGATGCCATATTAATATGGATGTGACCACTATTTATAATTGTTAATAAATAAATAAAAATGAAAAAGAGAAAAATCAATACAAACCGTATTAAGAAGCTATGTAGTTTTGAATTTCCCCCCATTCTTCCCAACTGATTTGTCGACATATTTATGAACATTGAAGTTATTTCTAGTTGCTTCTTTTAAAAAAATATTTTTTCCCTAAAAATCATATTCTACATTAAGTATTTGCTTTGCTGACATATGAAATAAAGAGGATCCATTCGTGCTTAAATTCAGTCCAACTTCGGTTCTGGAAGTGTATTGTTAATTTTGCCATTGCAACGTATTTCCCAATGTTGTGTTCCCCTTCTGACAGTGTGGACAAGGGTGTCTTTTTTAATGTTGAGTTTAATTTGTCTTCATGGCCAATTTATTTCTTCTTCCATCTTTGACTTATTTTGACCTCTACACCCACTTCCTGATAGATGTCTCCATTCGTACTAGGCAAAGGGTCAGGCCATGTCAGAAAAGGAGGTCTTTTGTTTCTTTTGAAGAAAATAAAAATTATGCAGGGAATATGCTAGCACCTTTTCTGACTATTATGTATTTCTGCTACCAGATTCCAGATTTTTTTGACACCCTAGATCAGCAAAGCTGGCTGGGGAATTCTGGGAGTTGAAGTCCTCCAGGCTTAAAGTTGCTAAGGTTGGAGGTCCCTGCCCTAGACTAACTCAACTCTTTTCCAACGATAAAGAGTTTCTAGGCTTCTTTTTGGAAAGTCATAGAAATGAGTAGAAAATCAAACCATTCCTGACTGTTTCACTAGCTAGCTGTATTTCTCACAAAGGGTTCTGCTGCTCTTTTCCACGTTTACTGGAACTCATTCCTTCCTCACCTGTAGAGCTGATTAGCAGTGAAATATGACTGTGTACCTATGATGGCCCTCCAGCAGAACACCCAACCATTTCTCAGATCTCTAGTATATTGGCTTTGAAAACATGTTCATGTTTTCAAAGTTTTCTCCTGGACTTCCTCATGGTTTCCTCCAAAGTATCTGGGTACATCATCCTGCTGATGTTGTATGGCAGCATTGGTTGCAAAATATATCCGGCATGGCAGTTGGCAGCTGTGTTGTGCAATTTTCATTAACTTACGGAAACCACTGTGAGAGTGGAGAGAGAGAGACAGGGCAAGTCATTTTGAGCCCCATCCATCCATCACTCCAACTGTAGTCATGTGTCCTGCTGTGAGCTAACAAATGATACATACAAACAATACAAGAGTTGTGTCCTCCAAAGGCTTCCCTCTCAAATGAGTGTCCTGCAGGATGCTTCAGTGAGATCTTTCATGAACAGCCTATTGCAGTTCCCATTTACATGGATCATTTGCCAATCTTTTTCTTCTTTTTCCCCCTTTTCTTTTTGCCTTTGATCATTTTTATTACTTCCTTATTCTTTTTTATTCCTCTATTCAAATGTTGGCTGACTTATTTTTAAATGGCCATGTAAAATTATTTTAAACGGGAAAGAAGCGTGAATTCTAGACTTCAGGCTGTTAAGGAAGAGGTTTAAATAGAATGGCACTTGTGTTCCTTGGCTGCATAATTTTTGTTGAGGCCCTGAAGAATTCTTTGGGAGACAAACATTTGTTTGCATAATAAAGCATAGAACGTCCTGCACAGCTACTCACATAGAATCTATCTTTCGTTTGAGAATGAAAAACGAGACCAAGGTCTAACGTGAGATCCTTGGCACTCTACGCCATCATATTGAATAGAAAAGAGTTGTATCTTAATGGTAGCTCATCAGTTTTTCATTCGGAATTCCCAGGTGTCATCCCTGCCATCTTCCTCAGGGACTGAGATCTCTGCCTGAGTTTTTGGAGATCAACTATCTTCCAAGGTAAACAACATGGAGATAGGGGGATCAATGGTCTGACTCAGTATAAGGGGGCTTTGTAGGATCCCTCATTGGCTGTGATTCTAAGACTGGTAGACCCATTGAAGGACAAGGCATTAATTCATTCATTAATTTTATTGGTCATATTTAGGTACCACCCATCTCATTCTTAGTGTTAATCCTATCGCTGTTGTTGGATTGATCTATCAGTCAGCTAAACAGAATATATATGAGCACAGCAATTATTCTGGTGCAAGGGTGAATTTTAGTTTTAGAGATTCCCTGCTTTCTTAACAGTTATTTCCTATTTGAGAAGAGGAGAAATGTTGTGTAGCTGATATCTTTTTCAGGTCTGTTATTAAGCACAACTATGTTTTACACACGTGCAGAGGGTGAACGCAGAATGAAGCCCAATGCTTTGTGACACCTTTCCTTCTTTCAACCTGTCCCACCTTCCTCCTCATCCAATCTGGCATATGAACTAAAATGGGAGGAAGCCCTTCGTGGTTCTACCCTATCCAAGTAATAAAAACAGTAGAAAATGTTGTCATGTGAAAACCACCATCAGTTAAAAACAACAGAAGAACCATAACACAGTCATATGAGAATCACATGGCTGGCAGAAACCCAGCTGTCTTTCCCAGGTAACATCCTCCTTCTGTGTCACACAGGATTACTGCCGTATGAAGAGGCCATTATATCTTTTATTTTAAGAATCAGTCTAGCCAGTCTTTCACTAAGCACATGTTTATATAGAGGGATTTCCTGAACAACTCTAAGCCCATGTATATAAAGGATCTGCATAATGCCCCATCAAACATTTCAAGAGGCAAATATACACATGGGAGACAGATGTCCACTTTCTCCAGCAGCCCAAATTGCCACGGAGAGCAGGAGCGTAGGGACCAGAGAGGAGGAGGAGGACTATATTTACAGCAGTCTATATGCATAAAACAGCCTGTGGGAGTTTGGCACATCCCAGCTCTTGACCGTGTCATCACCAGCATCATCAATTCAGGCAGCAAGAACTGTAATAGAAGATCAAAGGAAACACTGTTTTAACATCAATGCAGCTAAATACAAATTTTAACTGCTTCCCTAGTGGGCTCAGGGTGAAATCAAAGCAATCTTATAAGCATACATCCTCTAAAAACAGATGCAACAGATGCAAGAAATGCATCTCCATGGCATGGTTAACAAGACGGGACGATTAGTAATGTAACTTCTGTATTTTAGAGAACTATCATTTTGATTTGTGGCTTAGTATCTAGTATAAATCTTTTGATTTGTTCAGTAAACTTTGGCTGAATAAATCAGAGCATAGCAGTAATTTTTGGCTTTCAGTTCATGTGCTGGTAGGAATTCTAGAAATTGTTGTTTAATTATTACTTGTTCAATGACTGTTCAAAGTTACAATAATAGCACTACTGTCGCCCTTAGACTTTTATTCTGCTTCACAGTGCTTTTACAGCCCTCTCTAAGCGGTTTACACAGTCAGCCTATTGCCCCCAACAATCTGGGTCCTCATTTTACCCATCTCGGAAGGATGGAAGGCTGAGTCAACCTTGAGCCTGGTGGGATTCGATCTGTCAAATTGCAGGCAGCTGGCAGGCAGCAGAAGTAGCCTACAGTGCTGCATTCTAACCACTGCGGCATAAAGCTAAATGAGGAGACTTATGACTGGTTCTCATGGTTTTAGTCATCCCAGAATCCCTGCAGTGACATGATCATGACCTGGGCACTTGGCAATCAGTTTGCCATCATGACAGTCACAATGTCCCTCCTTGCTGGCTTCACTGCCGATTTCTGATAAGCAAAGTTAATGGGGAAACTGGCAGGAGGTGATCACAAGATATCACGCCTAAAAACTGATATCTTGTCAGTATGGTTACATGACTCTGTGCTTTACAACCATGTTGCTTAGCAATGGAGTTGCTGGTCCCAATTACCATTGTTAAGTGAGGACTGTACAACTGGAAGATTTCAATTTCTAGATGAGTGACCTACAGAAGTAAGCTTTAGTTAGACAAGTTTTTAAAATGCCTCACTGAATACTTTCTTATATGGACTTCATAATCAATGTGTCCCTCGAGCCCTCAAGCCCATGAAACCATCAATTGTAGCTGAGAATTGACAAAATTGACCCCTGAAATATTACTGTGTGCAGAGTGTAATTGGATGCAGGGCCATAGAACAACCAACTAGCCACTAGTTAAGACATCCTTTTAAGAAGTGCTCTAAGCTAGTGGCCATGCATAGTAAAATCATAAATTGATATGGAAGATGGTATGCTGGTGACTAGCTACTAACTATGGCAGCTAAATGGATGCTTCGTATCCTAAAGTAGAGAGAGTCTAAACAGAGTGCCCCACGGGCATCTGACTTGCCACTATTTAAACAGGATTCTGGATTAGATAGATGCTCTGTTTAGTCCCATTTGGCTTACTTGGTTTTAGTCACTTATTCTATTCATGTTCAACTTTTCTATTTAACTGAAGCAAGTGACGCCCGCTAAACAGCAGAAGATAGAATAAAAAGTTCACATCATAAATAAGAATGGTTACTAATGTGGCAAAAAAGATGACTGCTTTTCTAAATGTGATGGGGGAGGTGTTTTCCTGTGTGACAGATAAATAGGTCTGTGACCAGGGAAGCATCTTTAGAAAGGCTTCTTCCACAAATCCTAATTACTGGAAAAGTTTATAGGAGATGAAATGGTTCTTAAGTTACTGGCATTTTACCAATCAAATCTTAACTTGAAGTTGGAGTGGAGAGACTGTAAAATTGAAATCACCCTTGGGATTACGCCCTTCTTATTCCACATCCCAATTTGCCATTCTGAATGTTTTGATATCTCCTAGTTCATGAAATGGAAGCAACAATATGTAAGTGATCAGTTGATTAGCTCTCATGGCATACCAAAATTTGCCAAAATTGACCAATATCATCCTTATTGTTAGTGACAATGTTGCAGATGGCATTGGCGAAGCCATAATAAATAAATAAATAAATAAAAGCAAGAGAAAGGGGAAGGATGTAATAGATTTGAAATAAAATGATTTGATCTTTTGTGAATATATTCAGGGAAGTGAAAGTGTAAGTTTAATTATGAATAAAAGCTAAAAGGTATGTCAGAATTTATGAATTAGTGACATACAGATTGTTGTGTGCAAATATGAAAATAAGAATTCATGAGTCAATTGGTGACAGTTGCATGCTATTCTCCAGTGAAAGGCTTTTTGGAGAAAAATAGATATGAAAAAGTAAGCCTTTTAAAATAAGTAAACACATGGAAAATAGCATGAGTGTAGGAAGAGAAAGTATCAGTTTCTTTTGAAATATATCAAAAGATAGATTAATGTCCCAACAGGATGAATAGAAAGTAGGTAAAATGAAAAAATGACATGGATGCTTTGGAATAGAGTGGAAAGGAAAATGTTACCAAATACCAAAGAAATTTGTGCAGTTACATTAATGGGAATATAAAAAAATATGTTTGATGAAAAGACAGAGTGAAAGAAGCTATGGATGAGAAACAAATGAAAGAAAAAATGCAGACTGATTTTGAGAGAAATGAAAAAAGAATACTATGGAGTGGTGCAAAGGCTAAACAAGTAGCCACTAAAAGGACAGTAAGTTTAAGAATAAAAATTATGAAATAATTTGGGATGAATTTGAGTAGAGAGTAGAGAATAGACTAGAGAGTAGAGAGCACACTAGAGCATCTCTGAAGTTGCCAGTGTTATGTTCCTGTTAAGGTACTCCAAAATGATATTTATATTTATAGCAGGTTTGTATTTTTAACAGGTTTATGTTTAACTTTAACTTGTGATTTATGCTGAACTTGTGGTCAGTCCAGATCCATTTCATGTGGAATGCTGCCTATCAATCTCCCCTACCTTAATTTATGGCTTTCATTTCTTTTTACCCACATGCAGAACTTTACATTTCTCCCTGTTAAAGCTCATCTTAGTCATTTCAGCTTATTGCTGAAGTTGTTCTCTCAGTCCCTCATCTAAGCGATTGATAAACATGCTAAGCAGCAAAGGAGAACTCTGTTGGTTATTAATAATAACCTTTAAAGAGAAATAGAGCCATTATCAAGAACTCTTTTGGTTTGAACATTTAGCCAACATTCAACCCATGTTTTATCATTTTATTAAGAGAGTATCACCAGTGGCTTTGTTGAAGACCTTGCCGAGATGCGCTAAGTCTATAGTATCCCCTGAGATAGAAGCTCTATCAGAGACAGGAGTAGTTACTTTGAGACAATCTGTTTGTTACTAACTCATGCTTCTCCCAGTGGCATCATTAAGATCAGAAGAAAGCCCTTTTTGTTGCTGTGGTATCTGGTGCAAGCCTCAGCTTATTCTGAGCTTTGGACTCTCTGAAACAGTTCATACCCTTCCTGGAAATTATTCTTCCTTGACTATGGTCCTTACTCCCACTTCCTATATGTGTTTCGTTTTCCTTCTCTATTTTAGTGTGCATTCATTCCAACTTCTTTCAATCTCTCCTATTTTTCCTTCTCGTAGGAATTGTTTGTGACTGCACCTTCGGCATTCTATTCCATAGGCTTGTCCATAATTCCTGGCTTCTTTTCTTCTCTAGGGTTTGAAGCCATTGTATTCCACAAACTTTCTTTTGGAGTTGCAAAATCCAGTGTGGAAGTCTGATTCTTCTCCGTTCCTCTTGTCAAATTCCTGTTCCTCTTTCACTTGTTCATTGAATTTGCTCCCTGGAAACTCAATCTGCACATGTCTCCTGAAATTATTCAACTAAGTCAGCAAGAACAGTACACCAGTCAGATACAATGGCCGATCATCAGAATTTAAGATACCCTCAGCAGCAGTTAGCAGGAGTACCCAGCCTCAGACTCCTTGGATTTTCTCTCCTCCTCCTCCTCCTCCTCCTCCTCCTCCTCCTCCTCCTTCTCTTCAATTTTTCTTTGCTCTCCCTGTTCAGTTGCTCGAGACAAAAATGATGAGAAGGAATTCATCCTGCTGTGAGAATACTGCTAAATGTTGAGGTTGCAGGTGAAGATGGTGCATCTGCAGGAGGGTTAAAATTTGAAACTGGATAGAGTTTATGAAGAGGAGTTTATTTAATATGTGTGTGAAGATTCCATCAGTAT